TATTTATTTATTTATTTATTTATTTATTTATTTATTTATTTATTTTTACCGGAGCTGTGTTTTATTCAAAGTAGCCGTTGACTAGAATGCATTTCCCAATTTGTTGCCCTCTCAATATGTTGAGATTAAACATTGGCCAATAATCGTGAGGCATTTGCAGAGTCATCATGCAAACACAATTAAAAAACAAAGCTATCATTACCTCAATGTTTACCACTGGCACGATGAACTACTTGGATAAATACTTTGTGCTTTACTCTCCATCCTTGGAAAATATTTTCTGTCACAACTGTCACTTTTGAACATTAATCAAAGCTCCACCTAAATTCTGCAAGAGTTGTCCATGACTCAACCCATTTCTGACTAACAAATTTGCCATATTTCTCAAACATTAGGAAAAATTCTCCAACAGTTTCTGGGATGACATAGCATCTTTCTTTTCTTCCAAGTTTATATTTTATTTGGACTTTGAAGAAGCAGGATAGGAAGAGTATTGATGCTTTTGAACTTTGTTGTTGGAGAAGAGTCCTGAGAATACTGTGGATAGCCAAGCAAACAAACAAATGGATCATGGAACAATCAACCCAGAGTTCTCATGTGAGGCACAAATGACCAGATTCAAATTATCCTGCTTGGGACACATTAAGTGAAGACCCAGCTCTCTGGAGAAGGCTCTAATGCTGGGAAAGGTGGAAGGAAAGAGAAGAGGATGACCAGCAGCAAGGGGGATGGACTCAGTTACAGTGGTGATGAATGAACCTTTGGAAGACCTGAAGGAGCAAGTTAGGACAGATCATCATGGAAAAAATCTAGCTATATGGTCACTAAGAGCCCACAATGACTTGATGGCACATAATCCTATCTTGAGAAGAAACAGACCTGTGGAGCAAAGTAGTCTTACCTGTCTGAGAAAAAGGAATATCTTAGAAATCCTTAGTAAGAATTCCCATTCCCTCTTTTCAATGCAGTTTGTGAGTCTGGCCTGGAATTTGTCTCATGAAAAAGAAGAGAACTGTTGTTTTGTTGAGACTCCATATTCCCTACTTTTCTAAGATAACTTAGTCTAGTAAAAGTCTTTCAACATTGGAAACTTGGAATTGCCTCACCTGATCTTTTAAAGCCAACTGAGCATAGCATAATGCATCATCCTTACCTATTAATTGGAGCCAGAAATATAACTTTTGCACACCCATGCACAAAATCCATTCTGTTTTGTATATGACTAGAAGATTGGCAGCAAATTTTCCATGCGCGAGCCTATCTAAAGTTCACACAGATGCTAATATTCTCCCTTCGTTAGTGCCTCAGGTGTGGTATTTAGCTGTTGAGAGTGGGAAAATTTGAATCTGAGTGGATGAAAGTTTTCCTGGCACATACTTTTGTTAAATAAACTACCACCTTCCACTGAGGAAGCAACACTTTAAAGGTAGCAAACTATAGGTCTTTTGATTCAAACTTGGCGTGAAAATGCCCACCTAATTTTGACAGGAGAAGAAAACTGGCATAATCAGTTCCTTGATGAAGCTGAAGGAGTTGGTTTTGGCACTACTGGCTCTGGCACTGAAATATAAAATCACAATAAAATCATAAAAGTGTTACTTTGCAACATTTTTGAACTGGTTTTCTAAAAAATATGTGTGATTTAAGATGTCCCCCCA